AGAGAGAGAGAGAGAGAGAGAAAGAAATGGAACAGGAGAGAGAGAGAGAAAGAAATGGGACAGGAGAGAGAGAGAAAGAAATGGAACAGGAGAGAGAGAGAGAGAGAGAGAGAAAGAAATGGAACAGGAGAGAGAGAGAGAAAGAAATGGGACAGGAGAGAGAGAGAAAGAAATGGAACAGGAGAGAGAGAGAGAGAGAGAGAAATGGAAAAGGAGAGAAAGAAATGGAACAGGAGAGAGAGAGAAAGAAAGAAATGGAACAGGAGAGAGAGAGAAAGAAAGAAATGGAACAGGAGAGAGAGAGAGAGAGAAAGAGAGAGAGAGAAATGGAACAGGAGAGAGAGAGAAAGAGAGAGAGACAGAGACAGAGAAATTGTAAGAAATGGATTTGGAGCAGCATGCTGTCTTAAAACAACCTCACAATCCTGACCAAGGAGAAAGCAACGCCACGGAAATGGACCCTACAAAAATTCATATCGGCTGCCGTCAGGCGCAGAGTGGATGGCTGGTAATGGGAAGGTAGGGCAGATTGAAGTTCCAAAGTAGCATTCGTCTTCTTTAAAGAGATAGACACGGCCTAAATTAGGTGCCAGTGGCTGCGGTGAGGATCAAATGCAAACAGAAGTCATATTTCACCCGGGCCGAGTCAACAGCAGGAAAATAAATAGAAATGTAACAGCCACGCAGGCCCATGATTCATTTTGATAATCTGGCCCAAGAGAGAGCCATCCGGACAGCCTCCACATCCGAGCTCTTGACCAAAAAGACAAATAGGACGCCACGGGTGGGGATACGGTGACAGCCTAGCAGAGGTCACATCGATTTCCCAGAGCCAGTTTTCACAGAGATGAGATAACCCTGTACTCCATTTGGCCTACTGCTCATATCCTACCTGTCCGTCCGTCCCCAACCATAAATTCCCAAGCCCGGGGGTGGGGGCAGAAAGAGGGCAGTAAAGAAGAGTGAAGGCTCCTACTTACGACTTCTCATGATTAAGATTTTGTGCTAACCAAACACGCTTTGGCTGGCCAAGGTCACATTGCACGTTAACAGTCGGTAATAGCCACGAAGGACCAGCAGGGAGTGGGGGGAGGTTGAAGTGTATTACATTTTTAGCCTCCGAGAGTGGGAAGGGAGGGGGAACCAAAAGCAGAAGTCTTGTCAAACGATTCATCACTTCGCCCCTCTGATTGAAATCGCATCCTGGAGAGAAGATGAACGATCCGGAGCGTCAGAAATCTATTTCAATCTTGAAATGGGTCTTCACGTCTGAACGGTGACTCCCTTTGGGGCTACTATCGGCAGGAAGTGTGGGCACCGGTTATCTGTTTCGAGGCACTCAAAATCCCGTCTAAGTCTCAGGAAAGGGGATTTAAGATTACAATGCAAGTGTTTTTGCCTTTCTAGATAGCGATCAATGGGGCTGGTGGGTGCATTTAAATATCAGCATAAAAGGTTCTGGGCAGGGACATGAGAGAGAGAGAAAGAGAGAGGGAGGGAGGGAGGGAGAGAGAAAGAGACAAACAGACACACACACACACACACACACACACAGATGCAGACACACAGAGAGACAAACAGAGAGAGAGNAGCAATAGCATTTAGACTTATATACCACTTCACAGTGCTTTACAGCCCTCTCTAAGCAGTTTACAGGGTCAGCCTACTGCCCCCAACAATCTGGGTCCTCATTTTATCTACCTCGGAAGGATGGAAGGCTGAGTCAACCTGGAGCCTGGTGAGATTTGAACTCCCAAATTGCAGGCAGTCAACAGTCAGCAGAAGTAGCCTGCAGTACTGCAGTCTAACCGCTGGGTCACCGTGGCTCTTTACCTTGTATCCCATTTTTTTTAACCTTGTATCCCCATCCTTTCCTCCCCCCAGAAGCTCAAAGCACTGTGGATGCTTTGACTCTTACTCAGTTGTCTCCCCTTCCTCCCAGCTGATTAAATGAGATCCAGAAGATCCTTTTACCATTCAGCATCCTGAGACCGTCCCCCGTCGTAGCCTGCTTCAGCGCTTGTTCCACTTGCTCTCTCCGCTTCGATTCGAACTCCAGAGCTTCCTGCAATTTCCTCTTCGCTTTCTTCTCCTTTTTCAAGCGCTTTTGAATCGTGGCTGAAAGAGCAACAGAGCCATTAGGAACAGGGATCCCCCACAAAATTTGACGACAGAAGGACAACTCTGCTGATAATTTGATAATTCAGGCCTGCAGCCATCTTTTCTGTTGGATCTTGGGCCTGCCACACTTTCTATTATTCTACTATGCATTGTCTATTGTGAGAAAATGGAAGGGGAGGATTGTAAGGAGTGAGATACGATGTAGCCATAACAAAATTCTTTCTAGAAAGCCAAGGTCATCTTTTGCGTTTGCACCTCTGCACCTGACCGGAGCTGGATGGGTGGAAGCTGCCAACACAGCAGTGGGAGATTGGACCATGTGATGGACTTGTGGGTGTGGGGGCAAGATCTTGAACTTTCAACGGGGTGGGCAAAACTGGGAAGCTTTCAGATTTGGGTTTCCCACAGATGTGCCAACATGTCTCTCTTATTAAATTGGGACTGTGAAGAATCCTTTGCCTTGGACTCTGATTTACTTTTGGATGCTATTTGGAACCCTGACATTGGTTTGGCATCTGGCGTACAAGAGGACTTTTGTTAATGATTGTGCTGCTGTGTACAGGTAGTCCTTGACTTATGACCACAACTGAACCTCATATTTCTGTTGATAAGCAAGATAGTTGTTAAGCGAGTGTTGTCCCGTTTTACGACCTTTCTTGATACAGTTGTTGAGTGAATCACCACGGTGGTTAAGTTAGTAACATAGATCGTTCTTAAGCGAATCCGGCTTCCCCGCTGACTTGGCTCGTCACCAGGTCTCAAAACGAGATCGCACGACCCTGCAACTGTCATAAGTCCATGCCAGTTGCCAAGCATCTGAATTCTGATCACGTGACCCTAAGGATGCTTCAACGTTCATGTGAAAAATGGTCATAAGTCACCTTTTTTCAGTGGCGTACTTAACTTTACCCAATGCATGATTTTAAGTCAAGGACTTTCTGTACCTAGAAGGGGCTTGAGCCATTCCGCTGCCAAGGAGGAGCAAAACAAATTCCACATCCACCCATTCCAGTGGTGGGTTCCGGATCCCGTTGCAACCAGTACAGTGCAACGGGGCCCAGCACCCCCTACATGCACGTGCGCAGGACGCGCGGACACATGCATGCATCCTGCCCGATGCCTCCGCGATGCTCCGGCGGACTGTTGCGCAGGCACCGTACGCTCCGTGCGCGTAAGCACCGGAGAGTTTAAATACAGGTAAGGAGCTTGGGCGGGCAGGTGGACCCTCCGGAGTACCGTATTGGAACGGTACCTGGTGTTCCCGGTAGGCACCGGTACGCCCGTACTGGGGCATACCGTCTGCAACCTATCACTGACCCATTTCATACTTTGGAACCAAGTAGAATAGAATTCAAATATTATTTCAGTACTTCTAATGGGAGAACTTTCTTGAGTACAACGGAAGGGCCAATGGAAAGCAACAGACCATTCTCAGTTTCATCCCTGGCTACATCAGATGCATTTCTCCTCTCCTAACACATCAAGTTGGTAACAAAACTATATACGCAGTTGGTAACAAAGCTTCACAAATTCACAGTCAATCAATAAAGGGTTTTGTTGGGACCAGGAGTTTGCTTCATGCTCTTGGGAAGCTTAGGTTAGAACATGTCCGTTGATATGACCTTGGTTCCCACGGGTTGGTGGATGTTATGACCAGACATCTGAAGCATCACATTCCTAAGTGCCCCCCCCCACCCCCCTTGAAGTCGTTTTGCAGATTGACACTCCGATTACCTCTGCTTTGCAGCTCAGCCGTAAGCTGCCTTTCCAGGTTCTCTCTCAACTCTCTTTCCCTGCACAGCTCCATCTTTAGTTCCTTCTTTTCCTGTTGGATCTGCTTTTCCTGCACTCGGGCGTTATCCACGGCGACTTTCAGCAATCCCTGTTAAAAAAAAAATAGGCAAAGGTGAAATCTCCCTCAACAAGAACACCTAATTAATGCAGGAAGAGGAGAAGGAGAATAACGATGGAAAAATATATATCCTAGCCCAGTGTTTCTCAACCTTGGCAACTTGAAGATGTCCGGACTTCAAGTTGCCAAGGTTGAGAAACACTGTCTTAGCCAATGGTGGGATTCAGCCAGTTTGCACCTATTCGGGAGAACCGGTTCTTAACTTTCTAAGATGTTCAGAGAACAGGTTGTTGGAAGAAATCTTCTTTGGGATTTTTCAATATTCTGTCTTTACAGGGCTAATCCTGTAAGGAAGGCAGGAAGGAAACATTCTGGTGTTGTTTCTAGCCTNCAGCCATAACGTTAGCTACGGGTTCTCCCAAACCCAGGCGAACCTGTAGCAGCCCACCCCTGGGTGTGGGTGAAGATCCACATTCTAAGGAGTGGGAACTGTTGAGGTGTCTCAGAAAAGGAGAAGGGATTTGGGATGGTGAGTAACTAAGAGCAGTATGGACAGAGAAGCAAATGAATCAAAGTTGTGACCTCCATAACTTCTTGTCCCTTCTCAGATCAGCAAGTTCACTATTGGTGTTTTAATTGTCATTTGAGGAATTCTTCTCCTATTGGATTATTTTTCTCACTTCTTCAGTAATTTAGCCAAATATGCTTTGGAAAAAGAGAAAGGAGCTTGTCTGTTGAGGAATATCAGGAATCAGTAATTCTCCAAGTACAACTGCATTATTTTCAACCCCATCTAGAGTTGATGAAGGAAGAACCTGGAATTTTTTGACAGCAAAGCCACCAAGAAGTTCTATTCCTCATTTTATGGGAGAACAATAAAGAAACTTAAAGTTGATCTTTAATTCTGGAGGAAATTAAGTTAAAAATTCAATCGGGCCCCAATAGCAATAGCACTTAAGACTTATATACCGCTTTACAATGCTTTACAGTCCTCTCTAAGCAGTGTAGCATATTGTCCCCAACAATCTGGGTCCTCATTTTACCAACCTTGGAAGGATGGAAGGCTGAATCAACCTTGAGCCCATCAGGATCGAACTGCCAAACTGCAGGCAGCTGGTAGTCAGCAGAATTAGTCTGCAATATTGCATTCTAACCACTGCACCACCACGGTTCCACAAATGCTTGTGGATATTTTGTTGTACTATTAAAATAGGTAGAATACCTGAATCCAACGACTCCTAATTGCTTCATGGATACAACCATATTGTCTTGACAACAATATGGAAGTCAATCGGGGACAATATTTGTAGCTCAGGGTTGCAACAAGGAGTCCTTGATGCTCTCTGAACTTGGTTGTTTTCTTATAGACATTTTATTACCCAAACTAGGTAACATCATCAGTGCTAGAAGGGAATGGAAGAGGAGGATGAGGAAGAGGAGGAAGAGGAAGAACAAGCTTGCACTCAATCCAGACAAGACCGAGTGGCTATTGATGTTGCCTCCCAAGGATAGTCCAGACATCCCACCTCTTAGCCTGGGGGGTGAAATCATACACCCCTCAGAGAGGGCCCGCAATTTGGGTGATATCCTGGACCCACAGCTGACGTTAGAACACCATCTGTCAGCTGTGACCAGGGGGGCTTTTGCCCCAGTTCGCCTGGTGCCCCAGTTGGGGGCCTTACCTGACTGGGAGGCACT